AGAAAAAAATAAAAAAATAAAAAAAAAATAGAAAACAAAATCTTTGTATCAATTTTTTTTCTTCTTTTTATTTTTCTCTCTCTCTCTCTCTCTCTCTCTCTCTCTCTTTTCACTTCGAATCGCAGGGGAGCACGAAAGGGAAAGAAAAAGAAGAAGAAAAAAGAAAAAAAGATAGATAAAGAAAGACCACGTGTTTGTTTTCATATCGTTTTCTTTACGATTGTCTCGTAAAAGATTTGAATTCGATAATTTTAACGAAACGAAATATTATTATTATTATTATTATTATCATTATTATTATTATTATTATTATTAACATTATTATATCTATCACCGCGTGGGTCTCGTAAATTTATTAGATACCCCGTAAACGGTTCCGGTAGTTTAAGCGATATCTTTCAAATCCACTCACGAAAATTCTCATATCGATCGTACTCGACAATAGGGATTTTTCTCTCTATCGTAATGCAAGATGATCGATTACTTATTTTCGATATCGTTCGATCGACTACTTAAAAAGTAGCTTATATCTTGACAGAGACGTCAATTTAGATCGTACGACGATCTATAACGATCAGAGTTCTTTGAAAAGAAAGAAAGAAAGAAAGAAAGAAAGAAAGAAAGAAAGAAAGAAAGAAAGAGGAAAACAAAGATAAACGAAGGAGAAAAAAAAACAAAAAAAAGACAAAAAAAGGGGAGAAAAGAAAAGGTGAGGAAAAATCGAACCGACGAGGGGAAAAAGGAAGACAAAAAAAAAGGAAAAAAGGAAAAAATTAACTCGAATCGTGGAAAACCCGCGCGAACCAGAGGAATGCGATCGAACGCGTATTAAATGGGTGACCAGGTGGAGGGAGGGGGAGGAGGAGGGGTTGGGCCAGGGGGGGTCGAAGGGCGTTTGAACGTTACGAACGGCATATGAGACCGAGGAAAAGAGGAGGAGAACGAAGAGGTGGAGGTGGAAGAGAAAACGGTACTCTCTCTCTCTCTCTCTCTCTCTTTCTCTCTTTCTCTTTCTCTCTTTCTCTTTCCCCCTGCGCGCTCGCGCGCACGACCAGTTTTATGGATTTTTTTATCGCTGTGCTAGTGGCCCGTACAGCCCGCAGCCACTGGGATTCGGATATTCAATGTTGGCGTACCTGTATGGATATTAAATTAACACCCGTAAGCCGCGAGTATTAACAACTTTGCAAAAGATTATACGAGATTATGAGCTCAAGCGGAAAACGTGATTTTTAATACTCTCTCTCTCTCTCTCTCTCTCTCTCTCTCTCTCTCTCTCACTCTCACTCTCTCTGTCTCTGTCTCTGTCTCTCTCTCTCTTTCTTTCTTTTTCTCTGAATCTTCCTTCGTAATTTACGAACAGTCACGGACTCGTCAGATATGGTTCCTATTGATCATCGAAATGTATACATGTACGTTTGACTTTTGACGGTCAATTAGGATGACGTACGCGACGGAATAAAAATTTTTCGAACAAAAGAAAGATCATTGACCGTGAGGAGATCGAATCTATAGAGAATATACAAAGCCGACGGAAGTTGGATGAATCGATCGATCGATCGATCGATTGTACGTACGATCGGACGGACTATCGATCGATTGATCTTAAATATTTCTTTATATATTGACTTTGAACTTTCTTCAAGATAAGGAACACACATTCCGCGTATTTTTATACGACAAAGGCATTTGTTATTCGCGCCTTATAAGATTACATGATTGTTATGGCCGATTAGATAAAACGATGAAATCCCGAAAAATTTTTCCTTTTGAAAATAAATGAAGAGAAGGGGGATGAAAGATCGTTGTATTTAGTGAAAGAGAGAGAGAAAGAGAGAGATGGAGAGAGAGACAGAGTTAATATTCGATCCGTTAATCCACCGATGGAACACGTCGCTTTAGCCACGCTCGCCCTTCGACATTTTCCACTTCGCGTTCCACACGGGGCCGCTGGTATTAACTTCCACCAAAATTTACAACCTCCTGGCGGTCCCGTCAGATCGGAAATCTCCCATTCGGACATCTCTCGATGGAAATACTCTTGGATAGTACAACAACAATAACAACAACAACAACAACAACAACAATAACAACAACAAAGAAAAACAACAAAAACAACAACGACAACAACAAAGAGAGCTAGATTTTTTTTTCGTTTTGTCTCTTCCTCTCTTTCTTTCTTTCTTTTTTCCATCATTCTTTTTCTTTTTCTTTTTCCTTTTTTTTTTTTTTCTTTCTTTCTTTTAATATCCTCTCTCCGAAATTCAACGTTCCCTCTTAACCCTCTCTCTGTTCTCCTCTATTTCCTCCTGTTGACCTTCCTAAAAATAATGATTCTGTATATCGTGAAATCTTTACTTTGAATATGAGAATTTTACTTTTACGTTAAATAATTATCTTCCTCAAATCTGTTGAATCGTGCTTCCGCTTATCGACTGAGTAACACCACAGAGTTGGTCACGATCAACGGGAATCCCCGAATATCCTGGAAGTAGCCGCGGTAGTACTCCCGTAGATTGCGTTTGCATGGTCAATGGAAATCGACGATCGGACCCGAGGCATACCGCAGAGCGTGCGAGAAGAGGCTACGCGATGGCAAAGGTAATAATTGATATATAGCGATGGCGGCATTGGCCGCTGACAGCCGCTAACCCGGCCGAATACGGATGACACTCGGTAATCCTCACTCTCATACCGGTTAGTGCGTCCACCTATATTCCGTGGCGTCCCATTTCCCATTCCCATGGCGTGTAAGCTCTGTTTCTACCTTTATCTCCGTCTCTCTCTCTCTCTCTCTCTTTCTCTCTCTCTCTCTCTCTCATTCTGTCTCGCTCACGCTCTCCTATATATAGCCTGAAGGTACATGCACAGCCTACAGGTACAAGTACCAGGTGCTTTGTGTTGCATGTATCTGACGCATACATTCATATACATGAAAACACGCATAAGGACGCGCGCGCATATTATACACACATACACATACACGCATACATGGAATCAGTATTAGTGTATGCGAATGGATGTTGGTCCAGCTTGTGGAAGCTGCACACAACAATTCCAACGGCAGCAGACGAACTCGCGCTAGTGTGCGGTGCAACTATACTAATCCGCCGATGGATTTATGGTCTTAATCACCGGCGGATTATCTCGGACAGCCGCGCTCTGCTGCCACCGACCGAAACATACGCCTGCCTCTTTGTAGATAACTGTACCTAGCTCAGCAGTAGTAGCAGCAGTAGCAGCGCCAGCCTGTCCTCTCTCTCTCTCTCTCTCTCTCTCTCTCTCTCTCTCTCTCTCTCTCTCTCTCTCTCTCTCTCTCTCTCTCTCTCTCTCTCTCTCTCTGTTTGTCTGTCTCTCTCTTTCTATCACTCTTTCACTCTGTCTTTTTCTATCCTCGCGTTGGCATGCTTTCGGCTCCCCCATTTTTTTGCACGATGGATTTCTCATCCGCTTATGGATTCCACACCCACACTCTCCGTTGGCTAACCACTCGAGGGATTGGCCAAGGGAGAGACCAACTAAGATGGCTGACGACTCTTATAGCGGTACGTGCTTTGCAAAGATACTCGAAAATACATATATATATATATATGTATGTGTATGTGTGTGTATGTGTATATATATATATTGATATATATTAAATGCAAGAAAATATCTTTTTTTGTGAGAGAAAAAAATTCACCTTTCATTACTTATGATTACAATGTTAATACTTTACGAACAATTACCTAGTTCGAAATTTTTAAATGAAACGAATCTCTTGAGCCCTACATATATATATATATATATATATATATATATATATATATATACACATATATATGAAAGATAGCAAGAATCTTGTTTTCGCTAGAGTAAGAGAGGAAAGGTAGGATATGAAGCTTTCAGAATGAGAAACGTTCCCCGTGGCGTTACAGTTTGCGAACGAGCGATGCCACACTGCACGCTACTGGGATCTGCAGCATTTTGGTACATGGCGTATGGAGGACTGTGGCGGGAACACTGTAGCGTGCTACTATGTGTGCTTCTATAAATCCACGAGGGCTTACTCGTGCAAAGCCTCCCTCGTGGCTCGCGCAAACCCACCCTTCTCTGCTCCTTCCCACCCACATAGCCTCCCTCGATCCCCGACCCGTTCCGCCCACCCCCCTCCCCCCGCCAACACCAACCTCGTTCACTCGCAAACACGTGACCAGCAACACAGACTCTTCTTCACGTTAACCCTTTGGTCCTTACACAAGACCTTATTGCCTATAGCGATAACCTTCTCTCTTTCCTAAAGAGAGAACCATCTCGAAACTGTTATGTCTGTTTCTCTGTCTGTACGTGTTAAAATAAGTTTGTGAGAAAAAGAAATAGAAAATATCTACAGACACGAGCTAACCTTAGCCGACGGCTCTTTCACGTTCGTCGGTTGTGGCCTTCGTAAAACTCAGAAAAATACTCGTGTCGTTGTGTCGTTGTAATCGATACTGCGACTCCTACTTCACGGCTGAATGCACCCATTGTACCATTCTCTGTTAGATATACCGTAACCCCGTTTGTATATTGTAACCCCACACGAAGAACGTTTAGAGGACTCCTTCAGAATTTCCGAACTGAACAGACTCCTCGCGTAAGGTCACAGTGTCCGTCCGAAGAAAAAACATTCAGGAAGTACTCGAGCTAATCTGTTTTTCCAGGATTAAAATAGCTTGGTGGAGGGTGGGGGGAGGGCGGCGTTTCTCCAGTTCGAGGTTATATATATATATATATATATGTATGTATGTATGTATGTACATCGCGATAACACGATCGTTATTCCAAGAAATCGAACGAAGATCGTATCGCGTATGTATTATACATATATACATACATATTATACATACATACATAGAAACACGTTATATTTGTTTGTTTGCCTACCTACCTATCTATCTATCGAAATAGATCTATCGAAATCGAGATCCGATCGTTCGATTATAAGAAAGGAATTCGTGTTTGAAAATCAACGGGCTTACCCTGACTCGTGCTTCCGTCAAGTGCGTCCACAATGCGATTTCTTCTCTCATCGACATGTCGGGATATCGGTTTCTCATAAACGTAGCCTCCAAGTCCTGAAGTTGTTGGGACGTGAAGTGTGTCCTTTGTCGCCTCTGACGTTTGTTCTTCTTACCGTCCTTGTCGTCGGTATCGTTAACGCCAACAACCCCATCTGGTGATACGACACCACCACCGGCACCCAACTCATGTTTCACTTCTGCCGTTCCAATACCTGAAAATATTTCACTCTTATTTAATATACTCCTAATCCTGACGCATTTATTATTTGTCCCCTTATCATGTTGATCCAAATAAATATATTATAATTAATATAATATATAATATATATGTTGAATATAACATATAACGAATATATTATATTTTCATATTTATCGATATAAATTTAATTAATTTATTAATAAAGATATATTTTACGTCATTCTCTCTCTCAAATAAATCTAAATAAATGTTTAATACTTTTTCGTCACAATACATGGATAATATTAAAGGATATTTAAATTAATAGGATGATCTAAAGGTTCTTCTTTAAAAATCCGAGCTAAGAATTTTAAAGAAGAGACAACCCCACCGCAGGGAAAGGTACGATCGAAGATAAGGTCTGCGGGCAGGGTCTAAGTAACGATCATAGATCACGCCGATCGTTTGACCGGTAATCTCTACTACGACACGGTGATACCTTCCTCTTCTTTCTTCACGTAGGAAAGAAGAGGACAACGCGGGTGTGTTTGTCATGATTGCGACAGTGACAGGTGAGGGTATTTCATCCCTCTGAACTTCCCTCCTCTTTACCCTTCTACATGAAATTGACAGCCGCTTGATCGATCGATTCCCTTTTCAAAGAGTACCGCTATCAGTGCACGTTAACTATCTATGACGACGAATCGATGTGCTACTTTTTCTTCCGCTTTCAAACTTCAAAATTTATCTCGATTAAACTCAAAACTTGAACTTGACCGATATATATATATATATATATGTGTATATGTGTGTGTGTAATCGTATTTATGTATTACACGATCTATGTAAATAAAAGACGAACATTTCAATGCAATCGTTTGTGTCATATTGAAAACGAGAAAAAAATTATTGATACATATAGGAAGGAATAAAAGAAAAAAGAAAAAAAGAAAAAAAAAGAAAAAGAAAGAAACAAGAAAAGAAAATGGATGTAAGGTGTAAAATAAATCGCAAACGTTAGAGACCCTAACATTTATGCAACGTCATGACGTGGAAGAAGAGTTACGATCTCTTCGTCTGACTCTCTACTTCTTTATCTCTGTTTATCTTCCTCTCTCTCTCTCTCTCTCTCTCTCTTTCTCTCTTTCTCTCTCTTTATATATCTCGTGCAAAAACTTTAGCAAAGAGAATGCGTTCCGTAAGCTCCATCTCTTCGTGGAACGTGCTGGACTCGAAGAAGAGTTCGTCCTCGGGATTATAAAGAGCGAAGTGAGAGGATCTGTCCCAGTGTTTGTTGTTAACCAAAAAGAGAGAAAGAGAAAGAGAAAGAGAAAGAGAAAGAGAGAGAGAGAGAGAGCTGTGGAAAGTCCTCGCAAGGCTCCGAGGGATATTTCAATTTGCTGGGATTTAGAAGGACGGCTAGAGATAGAGATAGAGAGTCGGCTAAGTGCCGAACAAACGTGCAAACGAACGGGCTTGAAATTCTTCTTGAAGGGAAAGGACATCTCCTACATATACATACACACATACATACACCCACTCACTCATACACACAAACACACACACACATATAGTTCAATCACACTTTTTGAAACTTCTCTCTTTGATATTTAAAATGATTTGGATGAAACAAAATAAAAAATATTCGTAGAACAAATAGACAAGTGAGAACGGATCCTTAGATTTTATATATATATATATATATATATATATATATATATATATATAAAATAAAATGTCTGTCAACGTATCATGAAACATGGATGAATCATTGTAATAGATAGAAACTATTGAGACGAACCTTTTTGTATATTTGGCCTATGCGTTGTATTCGTTCGTGATCTTGGTTGTGCCGTCGAAAATCCTCCCGATGGTGTCATAGTCGAAGTGACACCAGGTGTACCAGGATTGCTTCCACCGGGTGTATGACCACCATGACCGCCCGTAGAATCGAGCCTTGCCAAGCCGCCATTCGTTTCGTCCCTGAAATCGCTCTGTGCCCAAACTGAAAAATACAATTCACAATTTCTTGCAAGGTCTTCTTTCCTTTTTTCTCTTCTTTTATCTTTTTTCGTTTCTTTTTCTTTTTCTGTTTTTTTTCTCCCCCCTTCTGTTCTTTCTTTTCGAACGTTTCTAAAAAATACGAAAAAATACGAGAGAGAGAGAGAGAGAGAGAAGAGAAGAGATCGAAAAAAAAAATTGAAAGAAAAAAAAAAAAAAAAAAGAAAAGGAAGCAAATAACGCAATCGTCAATACGCAAATTAAATTTAACTATAAATTTTCTTTATCGTGTTTTCGACAAGAAACGAAACGTTCTGAACAAACGGAAACACATTGGACGGGAGACATTTAAAAATTACGACCAAAGCTCCTACCTCAATTATTTATCTATCTCTTGGTGAATAAGAGAGAGCGAACGATCGAGCGAACTAGCGAGCGAGCAAAAAAGAAAAATAAAAAGAGAGAGAGAGAGAGATCAAGGAAATAAAAGAAACCTCTCTCTCTCTCTGTCTCATAATGTCTCTTTCTGTCTCTTTTGGGGTCGAGAATAGGGCCAGGCCTGGTCCGACCGAGATATTACAAGGAAAACAGAATGAGAGATAGATAGAGAAAGAAAAAGAAAATGGGAAAGAGAGAGAGAGAGACAGAGTGAGAGAGTGAGAGAGAGAGAGATAGTACGACTGTCACGAGCATCCAAGCAAGCTGCTTGAGAAGTTAATCGTCCCGGTCGTTTAGTTTCCCTCCGTTTAGTTATATTTGGTCTCCATGGGGGCGGCAAAGAGGAGGGACGCGGTTCACAATTAGTCGGCGCATAACTCGCTCTGATTTAATGCCTCGACGTTCAGCCGACCGCTCGAAGACGCGCATGTCATTCTTCCTCGATACCGTCAACTCATTCCCTCTCTCTCTCTCTCTCTCTCTCACTCTTTCTCTTTCTTTCATACACAAATACTTATAACCAACATGAACGCATACAGAAGAAGAAGTAGAAGAAGAAGAATAAGAATAAGTTCAGCTCGAGAAATTCAAGTGAGCTTTGAAAATCATATATTTAATCTCTTCTTTCGAAAGAAAAAAAAAAATTATATATATATATATGTATGTGTGTATATATATATATATATATTTATATGTATATAAAACGTGTAGTTGCATGTAACACGTAGTCCCATCGTATCGATCCGCAAATATAAGGGGAACGATTTTTCTTTTTTTGTCCCCGATGATCGTGTCGTGATTCCGTATTCGTTTAACACAAACAGATCACACAGATTACATCGTATGAGAATTTCATATCAGACTTAACAATACATTACAATGTCGGCTTGTTTGTAAGTAAAAGATCCATTTACCGTTAGGCTAAAGTAAAACTTATTTATTGGCACAAATATAGATCATCTTATATATTCTTTTTCTGATTATCCGACAAATAATCATCATACGCGATATCATATTCTCGGCGGTATTCCTTTATATCATTATTTTTCTATTCTTTTTATTCTTTTTTTTTTCTTTTTTTTTTTTTTTTTTTTTTTTTATCTAACGAAAGCGACGAGATACGTACAAGTTTATATATTAGTATTAGGAATTGTTCAATTGAATTCTCTTTTATACATACATAGATAGATAGATAGATAGATAGATAGATAAATAAATAGATGGATAGATAGACGTTAATACATATATTTATCTTATATTATCTAATATAAATCGATAATGTTCGCGTATTTGGCATGTCGCTTTTACGACGACGTTATTCAATGATTAATCTTTCGTAAATAATTATATTGGAAAGGGTAGAGGGAGAAAACAGAAGATAAGGAGAAAGGAGGAAATCAAAAAAGAAATGAAGAAAAATTAATTTCGAGATAAGAAAAAAAGAAAAAATAAAAAAAAAAAAAGAAAAAGTAACATGAGAACACGACGTACGTAAGAATTAATACGTCGTTTGATTATGTTAAAAGAGAAGAAAAAAAGAAAAAAAAAAAAACAAAAAAGAAAAAAGAAAAAATAAGTGAGAGAAGGAGAAGATAATACGATAAAGTTAAATCTTGGATCATTGTTAAACATACTATAAATTATTTCACGACATCGATTAGATGAAAAACATAATCTCTCTCTCTCTCTCTCTCTCTCTTTCTCTTTCTCTTTCTTTTTTGAACGATAATCTTTAATTCCGCATTGTTTTGACGAGGATACAACCTACACATCGTAGAGTCTCTCTCTCTCTCTCTCTCTTCCTCCCGAAGGCTTGTATATTATTTTAAGATTAGAGTTAATCGCATAATCTAGTAGGGTGATCCGTACGAAGCTATTCGAACGTAGGAACCAACTACTTATCCCGTGATAAAATTTATAGGGCGCATCGTTTCCACCGTAACGTTCTTCCGTTTCTACGTAAATTCGATTGAATGGAATTGTTTTAACAACAAAGGAAAAAAAAAAGAAGGAAACAAAAAGAAAAAAAACAAAAAAGAAAAAACAAAAACCGCTCTTTCAATGCAAAGCTCACCGAAATAGCTCTACGTCGCGCCAAAAAAAGATATCATCGAATTCGTATCATTTTATCTCAAGACGATAAAATAATTTCTATCCGATAACGATTGATTCTGATTATAACCATATTATCCACCATACATATACATATATATATATATATATGTATGTATGTATGTGTGTTTATATGTATGTATGTATGTTTAAAAAGAAAAGAAAAAAGATGCATATACAAATTCGAAGATTTTAAGAGAATGCATATCGTCGCCGTTATCGCGGATAACGTCAAGGTTTTCATTGGCTTAAAAAAAAAAGAAAAGAAAGAAAGAAAGAAAGAACGAAAATTACTAATAATTAAGATTACGAACAAAATTTGATTGTACGAGTTATTATTAGCGTAAACAAATCATTATTTTATTATTATTATTATTATTATTATTATTATTATTATTATTATTGTTATTTAAATATTTTTAATCCTAGATTATAAAAAAGAAAAGGGAGTATTGAAAAATTGCAAATTGAATTTAACAAAATAGAGATTTAAAAAAAATAAACGACAAAATAAAAAATAAAGATTTGAAATAATAAAAACAAACGAGATGGAGATTCGATTGTAAATAAATTATTATTTAAATGTTACCGATCGTATGCACGTGCGGGGATTAAAGAAAAAAAATCCGAATGTGAAGGATAATATATTATATTATTATAAATCGAATCTAACAAAAAAAAAAAAAACAAAAACACAAACATAACAAAAAAAGAACAAAAAAGAAAGATAAAAGAGTAATAGTAGCAGTAATAATAATAATAATAATAATAATAATAATAATAATAATAATAATAATAATAATAATAATAATAATAATAATAATAATAATAATAATAATAATAATAATAATAATAATACTAATAATTATTATAATAATAATAATAATAATAATAAACGTACGATATCGAGATTCTTTCGTAAACGGATTACCATTTAATTATTATATAAATATTACCGTCCGTACGTGAGTGCGTACAGGGATGGAAAGAGAGAAAAAAAAACGGATAATAAAAGATACTACATCGTAAATCGAATCTAACGAAAGAAAAAAGGGGGGAGGGGCGGGGGAAAAAGAATAAAAGAAAAAAAAAATCAGAAATAATAATAATAATAATAATAATAATAATAATAATAATAAAAAAGGAAAAATATATATATAGAAAGAAAGAAGAGAAAAAAAATTAAGAGAAACGTACAGCTCGAAAATTCGTAATTTTTCGAGTTTTCTCGAGGGAAGAAGGAAAAAGAAAAAACAAAAAACAAACAAAAAAACAGCAAAAGAAAAGAGCAAAAAAGGAAAAAGAAAAAAAGGGAAAAGAAAAAAGTGAAAGAAAGGAAGGAAGGAACGAACGAACGAACGAACGAACGAACGTACGAACGTACAAACGAAAGAAAGAAAGAAACTTTTAGGGATTGAGAGAGAGTTTTCTCTTCAGGCTGACGATCACGACAAACTGGAAGGAGGGTGTCTAGTTGCACTGTGCTTCGCACACGTGTTTTTTCGAAGATCGTGTAAAACGCGTTCCTCTCGCGTTCGCGTACGTTCGCAGAAGGGAGGAAGGGATCGTTCGAAGTGAGAAGGAAAATAAATAATGAAGAAAAAGGAGATGGAAAAGGGAAGAATAAAGAAGAAAAAGGAAAGAAAGAAAGAAAGAAAGAAAGAAAGAGAGAAAGAAAGAGAGACAAACAGACAGAGGGGGGACAGGTTGTAATTCACAAATTTATTACTTTTAGCTGGGCTTCGGGTTATTTTATACCAAAGACAAACCGTTACTCTCTTTCTCTCTCTCTCTCTCTTACTGACACACACGTATACGTACAGAGAGAGAGAGAGAGAGAGAGAGAGAGAGAGAGAGAGATAGAAAGAGATAGAGAGAGATAGAGATAGACACAAATACACAGACGTCGGGGGAGACGGACAAATATCTCAGCTGCTTCGGCGCGTTTTTACTCTCTCGCTGGATATATTAGTGGCTCGCTAATCCGCACGGATTTTACGGTGCGGCTGTGCACCGCGAGAAAGATAGAGAAAGATAGATAGAGAGAGAGAGAGGGAGAGAGAGAGAGAGAGAGAGGAGAGAGAGTAAGAGAGAGGAGCCGACGCGACGCTTCTCTCTTCATTTCGTACCGTTCCCATTTAGTCCCCCATCATCAGTTCTTGCCTACCGATTGAGCAGAGCTAGCAAACGAACGAACGAACGAACGAACGAAAGGAAGCGACTTTTAGTTGCTACCGATTATTATATTTTCGATTATATTCTCTCGATTCTCCCATTCTTTTCTTTCTGTTTTTTTTTTCTTTCTTCTATTTATTTTTTTACCATAGTAAAAAATACAAAGAGAAGAAGAAGAAGAAGAAGAAGAAGAAGAAGAAGAAAGGTAGAAAGAAAGAAGGGGGAGGAAAAAATCGAGGGAGACCTTCGCAAAGTTCCTACATAACAATTTTAAATAAT